AGGCCTTAACCGGAGCTCCCTATGGAACGACGAACCGTGTGAGGGGTGTGCCACAATGGGTGGCGCGGACGCATGGGAACGTCGCCGCTGGAGCCTTAGATGGAGCTCCCTATGGGGCCACGAACCGTGTGAGGGGTGTGTCAAAATGGGTGGCGAGGGCGCGTGGAAACGTCGCCACTGGAGCCTTAGATGTAGCTCGCTATGGGGCCACGAACCGTGTCAAAGGTGTTCCAGAATGGGTGGCGCGGGGAATGTCACCATTGGGGCCACGATCCATGCGAAGGGTGTGCCACAATGGGTGGCACGGACGCACGGGAACGTCGCCGCTGGGGCCTTAGGTGGAGCTCCGTATGGGGCCACGAACCGTGTGAGGGGTGTGCCAAAATGGGTGGCGCGGACGCATGGGAACGCCACCGCTGGGGCCTCAGGTGGAGCTCCCTGTAGGGCCGCGATCCGTGTGATGGGTGGGGCGACGAACCGTGTGAGGGGTGCGCCAAACTTGGCGGCGCGGCGCAAGGGGGCGTCGCCGCTGGGGCCTTAGGTGGAGCTCCCTATGGGGCCACGAACCGTTGGAAGGGTATGCCAAAAATAAATGGCGCGGGGCCATGAACCGTGTGAGGGGTGCGCCAAAAATGGGTGGCGCGGCGCATGGGGAAGTCGCCATTAAGGCCTTAGATGGAGTTCCCGTGGGGGCTACGATCCGTGGTGTGAGGGGTGTGCGAAAATGGGTGGCGCGGACGCGTGGGCACGTCACCGCTGGGGCCTTGGGTGGAGCTCTCTATTGGGCCACGATCCGCGAGAGGGGTGTGCCGCAGTGGGTGGCGCGAACGCATGGGAACGTCACCAATGGGTCCTTAGGTGGAGTTCCATACGGGGTCACGATCCGTGTGAGGGGTGTGCCACGATAGGTGGCGCGCGCGAATGGGAACATCGCCACTGGGGCCTTAGGTGAAGCCCCCTATGGGGCCACGATCCGTGAGAGGGGTGCGCCGACATGTGTGGCGCGGACGCATGGGGGCGTCGCCGCTGGGGGCCGCGAGCCGTGTGAGGGGTGTGCCACAATGGGTGGCGCGGACGCATGGGAACGTCATCGCTGGGGCCTCAGATGGAGCTCCCTATGGGGCCGCGATCCGTGTGAGGGGTGTGCCACAATGGGTGGCGCGGACGCGTGGGAACGTCTCCAGCGGGGCCTTCGGTGAAACTCCCTATGGGGTCACGATCCGTGTGGGGGGTGTGCCACAATGGGTGGCGCAGGCGCGTGGGAACGTCACCAGTGGGGCCTTCCGTGGAGCTCCCTATGGGGTCACGATCCGTAGGGTGTGCTATAATGGGTGGCGTGGGGACGTCGCCGCTGGGGCCTTAGGTGGAGCTCCCAATGGGGCCACGAACCGTGAAAAAGGGTGTGCCCAAATGGGTGGCGCACACGCGTGGGAACGTCGCCACTGGGGCCTTAGGTGGAGCTCCCTATGGGGCGAAGAAACGTGTGAGGGGTGTGCCAAAATGGGTAGCGCGGACGCATGGGAACGTTGTCGCTGGGGCCTCGGGTGGGGCTCCCTATGGTGCCACGATGCGTGTGAAGGGTGTGCCACAATGGGTTGTGATGCTGGCAGCGAATGATGTTGATGGTGATGATGATGGGAGGGGGGAGGGCGGAGGAGGAAGGAGGAGTGAGCGAGGAACGCGTGGCGCTGTCTCTTCAAACGAGGACCCAACATCACAGGATGGTTGGGAATAGTAAATAATAGGTGCTTCCGCGCCACAGCTTTTGGCGCGCGGCGCGCTCGCCCAGAGCGAAGCAAATTCAGACAGCGTGTCACGCGAAGGCCTTCTCGAAAATCATCTCTGCCGTGTTGATCGCGCCCTCCACCCATTCCTGCATGTCGCTGAAGGCCTCGCCGGGGATGCGCGCATTGCTTCCGTCGCCGCTCCCGTCCGAGATGGCCCGGACGCACTCATCAACGTCCGCGCCCTTCCTCCACTTGCGCGACCCGGCCTCCCAGTAGGCACGCGCGCAGTCGGCCCAGTTTGGCTCGGGGCGGCCCCCCCTGCACTCCGATGTCCATGTGGGCCTTCTTCATGGTGTCGAACGTGCGCCGCGGTGCGGCGCTCGGATCCACCGCGAACTCGCGCCCCCGCCTCGCGGCGTAGTCGCCGCCGACGTTGCCGCCGCCCCCGTCCGAGACGTAGATCAGGAGGTCATGATTGTCGCAGTAAAGGATCTGGCGGGCGTCCGTGTCGGTGGTTGACTTGCCGCGCGCGAAGCCGTGCTTCTGCCGCCGCGGCGCGCCGAAGTCCAGGCAGCACTCGAAGGGCGGGATGGCCTTGCGCGACTTCGCCGCGGAGGCGCGCTCTGGAGAGAGGACGGCTTCCCAGCCCGAGATCCCGCCGAACTGCTTGGCGGTCGCGCCCATGATGACATTGGGCGCGGCCGCTTCCTTCTGATTGCTTAGGGCCGCCGCGATCTTCCCGCCGCCCCTTCGCGCCGAGACGACCTTGGTTGCCGTGGGGAGTGCGCGCTCCGCTCGCCTCGTGCAGCTTGGTGGCCATCGTCGCGTAGCCCTTCTTCAGGAAGTGGTGGTGCGATGTGTCTGAGCCGTGCAGCTCCCCGTCGTGCGCGTAGATGCTCGACTGCACGTCGTCGCCGTGCAGGTTGTAGCCCGAGCAGGCGAACCAGCGGGCGGTTTCTGCGGGCGACGCCTCGGCGTACTTGACGAAAGGGCTCGGAGACGGACAGCGACCTCAGCTCGGGGCAGTTGTAGGCATGGTGCCCGCACTGCAGCCAAAAACTCCGTCGCCGTGTAAGCACCCGCGACAGACGCGGACATGTCGGTCGGCTTCTTGCCCGCCCACTCCCCGCCAGACGGCATGGGCCCGTCATGCTTGCGCGCAGTGGTGCCCTGGGCGTGGAAGAGGTCGGTGGCGTCGCCGAGTTCGAATGGAAAGAAGTCGAGCCCGAACCGCGCGACGAGCTCGCTCACCTTCGGCATCTTGTCGGGGAAGATGCGCGTGCCACTGAACTCATCGTGCACGGCGCTGCCTTCGCCGTCGTTGGCGTGCGACTCCATGTGGCCGCCGATCCAGTTCGAGCCCTCGACCGTGAACGCCCGCAGGTCCGGCTTCTCCGCCCTCAGCTTGTCGGCGAACCAGCAGCCGGAGAATCCCCCTCCGACGATGTATTCGCCCACCTCCTCTACGCTGTCCGCCGCTGGGTCGTCCATCGCGGCGGCGTCCGCGCCGCCCAGCGCAAACGCGAGCTTCGCCCTCGTGACCTCTTCCATGCCTTCCGCCAGACCGAGCAGCTGGTCCGGGGTGGAGCGCTGCGCCGCGGCGCCGACACCTGCGCTGGCGCCCGCGCCCATGACGGAGTGGAGTTTAATGGGCTCGGAGATGAGCTTGGGGACTGTAGTGCCTGGCGGGGCTGGAGCAGGGTTGAGCGCTCATGGGGCGTCTCGAGCCACGACTTGAGCCAAAATGGCGACGGATGATGCTGCTGCTGCTGCTGCTGCTGCTGCTGATGATGATGATGATGATGATGATGATGATGATGATGATGACGCTGCTGCTGCTGATGATGAGGATTGTGCTGATGCTGATGATGATGCGGATGCTGATGCTGGTGATGATGATGAGGATAATGATGATCCAGGCACCTCTTGGTGGCCAAGGTCAAGCCGCTGTCTGCGCGCGTCGCCGGCGGCGGGCTAGCAACCGAGGGCGGCGATTGTGGCGTCCGTCGCCCACGGCACCGCTACGGTGCAGAGCCGCTCGGCGAGCCGCCTCGCCGTGGTGCCGCGGCGGCCGTCGCGCTGCACGCGGCCGTACGCCTGCGAGGCGGCCGCGAGCTCCGCGAGCGCCGCGGGGGCGCTGGCGCTGAAGCGGCCGCCCGCCTCGACGGCGATGCTGTGCAACTGCTCGCCGAAGCGCGTCTCCTTGGCCCGGTCGCTGGATGCAGCGGCGGCCCCGGGGGCGCGACCAGCGACGGCGAGCGAGGAATTGAAGGCGACGGGACGGTGACGTCCAGCCACCAGCGCTCGGCGCTGGTAGGGAAGGCGACGACGAGGTCCATGACGTTCTCCCGGACCGTGCTGTCTGGCAGCGTCTGATAGAGCCCAAGCACCCGCCGCTCCAAGTCGACGACAACGCCTGCGGAGCGGAGCTTCTCCTCGAGGCCGCGCGCGGCCCCAGTGTGAGCCCGCAGCCGCGTGGCGCTCCCGGGGCACGCCACGGCGTGCGCAGCTCGCCGGCCGAGCACCTCGCCGCATTCCCGCGCTTCCTCGCCTGCGTCCGCGACGGCAGCGGCGCGCCGCAGCCTGCAGGTAGCCCCCGGAGGGGCGAACGCGGCGCCCAGCCGCTGCAGGAAGGCCGCTTGCCAGAGCGTCGAGCTGGCCTGCATCCACCGCGCGTGCGGGATGGCAAGCCAGAAAGTTCCATGACGATGATGATGATGCTGATGATGATGATGATGATGATGCTGATGATGATGACAATGATGGTGATGATGCTGATGATGGTGATGATGATGATGATGCTGATGATGATGGTGATGATGATGATGAAGATGAAGATGCTGATGGTGATGGTGATGCTGATGATGATGATGATGGTGATGCTGATGATGTTGCTTATGCTGCTGCTGCTGATGATGACACTGATGATGATGCTGCTGCTGATGATGATGATGATGGTAATAATAATGATGATGATGATGATGATGATGATGATGATGATGATGATGATGATGATGATGTTGATGATGATGATGATGCTGCTGCTGCTGCTGCTGATGATGATGATGATGATGATGATGATGATGATGATGATGATACTGATGCTGCTGCTGCTGCTGATGATGATGATGATGATGATGAAAATGCTGAGGAGGATGAGCATGATGGAGCAAAAGGTGGTACTGATGATGCTGATGAGGTTGTTGATGCGGATGGTGTCGTTGTTGTTGTTGTTGTTGTTGTTGTTGTTGTTAATGCTGATGATGCCGTGGCCTGTCGGTGGTGATGCTGAGGGTCTGCTCCAGCGCCTTCGTGCCGGCCTTCGGGGGCGGAGCGCGCGCGAGAGAGCTTCGCGGCCGACGGGGGGCTGGCGCTGACGCGGGCCAGCGCCGGCCAGGGGTCGGCCAGCCCGCCCGGGCCACGTCGCGAGCCCTGGTCGGCCCTGAAGTAGCTCCCAGGCCCAGAGGCCAGCGGTGTGGGTCACGACGGCGCAGGGGGGCGTCAGGCGGACGTTCGCCAAGAGCAAGAGGTGGGCCAGAAACATCTGCCCCGACCCTCCGCCCGCCAGAGCAATACCTCCCTCTGGCCACTCCGACGCGGTGTCCGGGGAGGCACGGGTGAGTCGGAAGAGGCTGCTGCTCTTCGTGGGGCATCAGGGGGGGGAGGGGGGCTCGGTTCCACGCGGCTCCCAAGTCTGGGCCAGCCACATTGGGCTGGCCGACCCCGCCAGTGCTGACCCCCGCTGCTCCCCGAAGCTTGGCAGAAGACTGATGGAGCCGGCCGCAATGGCTCACGTGGTGGTGTTGGTGCAGGCATGCCCTCCGCGGAAGCTCTTCTCGGGCAGCTGGGAGGGCTGTGCCAGTGGACCTTCCCTCCTCGTCCAAAGCGCTTCGAGGAAGGGGAGCGATGAGAGCAGGAGGATATATAGCAGCAGGATGATGAGGAGGAGGGAGGAGGAGGCGGAGGAGGACGAGGAGGACGAGGAGGAGGAGGAGGACGAAGAGGAGGAAGAGGTGCAGCAGGGGTGGAGGTCCAGAAGAGAAGGGGCAGGGTCGGGGAGCGCGCCTCAGGCTATCCACGTGCACCGATCCTGGACAGACCAGCCCTGGACCCGCCGATCAGCGGGGCTTCTTTGGGGGGGGGCATGCTCTGAGGGGGAGAGGGGTCGATACCAGGGGGAGGAGCAGGAGAAGGAGAAGGAGGGGGAGGAGGAGGATAAGGAAGAGGACGAGCAAGAGGAGGATGAGGAGGAGGAGGAAGAGGAGGAGGAAGAGGAGGAGGAGGAGGAAGGGGAGGAGGAGGATTACACATGCTGATTCTGAGGAGGGATGATGACGATGATAATGGCGAGGAGTAGGATGTGGATTCGAATGAGGAAGAAAGGACGGAAGGACGGACGAAAGGAACGAGAGAGGACGGGAGAGGGGAGAGAAGAAGAGAGGTTGGACGAGGAGGATGAGGGGATGATGATCAAGAGGAGGGGAGGAAGAGGGATGGAGAAGGGAGGCGCATGAGGACGAGGAGGATGAGGAGGATGCGCAGGAGTAAAAGCGGCGCGGGGTGCCGAGACCGCCTCGGGGGGCCGTGCTGGGGGTCCTTTGGGGGGAGCAGCCGGGACCTCTTCTGGGAGCTGCACGCGCGCAGCCCTGATCCTCGCCAAGACGGGGAAGGAGGAGGGGATTGGAGGCCTCCCAAGTGGGGTCCGAGCAGATGGGGTCGGAGGGTCGCGCATCGCCGATGCATCGGCGATGCATCGGCGATGCATCGGCGACGCGGGCGACGCAACGGCGACGTTGACGTGGACAAAAATCTGGCTCCACATCGGGCCGCATCGCCGATGCATCGGCGATGCGGCGCAATCCTCCGATCCTGTCTACTCCGGCCCTACTTTGGAGGCCGGGGTGGAGGAAGATGGGAGAGGGGTGGGGAAAGAGGATTTGGAAGCTTTCAGGCTCTTCCAAAAAGGTTTTGCGGGCTCCTGTGGGTTCTGGAAGGAGAGGGGTCTGGAGGGAGGGAGGGAGGCGGGATGAGGGAGGAGTAGGAGGGCCGAGCAGGAGGGAAGACGGGCAGGAGGAGGGAGGGACGAGGGGTAAGTGGTTGAGGGAGGGCGGGGACGCGGACAGCAGCCAGACCTTCTTCACGTTCAGGCCGAGCTTGGCCATCTCCTTCTTCATCTTCTCGAAGCTCTCGGGGTCCAATGTCTCCTCGTCTTCCTTCCCTTCTCCTCGCCGCCCTTCCTGGCACTCCAATCACCACGGAACACATTGCTGCGAGGCCCTCCTGCGGACCCAACGGAAGGGGTTCCTTCACCAAGACACGGAACAAATTACATCTGGATCCTCTTGGTTGTCAAGCACCCTTGAGACCGTCAATGGAAGACAAAGAAGATGGGGAGGACAACAAAAAAACAAATCAATGTCTTCGGGGATCTGCTAACCCGGGTCAATCAGGCCCAGGTCAACAGAAAACGAAACAACTGCAATGCAGGAACACCAACTGCAACATAGGGCTTCGCAAACCCCGGTCAACCAACGTGCGCGGCCGCCTCGCGGCCACGAGCGGCTCGCGAACCCGGGTCAGCCAGAGAGGGCCTTCGCAGGCTCCTGCAGGATCCAGTGCCCTGGCTGACCCCCGTTTGCATTGACCCCCGTCTTGGCGGCGCGCACAAGGGGGTGGAGGGACGGGGGAGGGCTTCTTAGAAGGAGGCTGCTCCTTAGATGGCGCCAGCCTCGCATCTATGGATGAGGCCCGCGCCTTCTAAGAAGCAGGGGTGCTTCTAAGAAGCCCTCCCCACTCTCCCCCCACCCCCCTCTGCGCGTGGCCGACCGTGTCTTGAGCCCCGATGTCTGCTCGTCTCGTGATCCCCAGGGGCGCTCCTCTCTTGCCCTCCCCCTTCGCACGTAATTTGCCGTGGCGCGGGGCGCGCGGGGCGGAAGCCCCTCCCGTGGCGCACGGGCGCGCTCTGGCACGAGCAGGCACACGGGCACGCACGCAGGACCTCCTTGTCACCGGCGACGGCGACGGCGACGGCGACGGCGACGGCGACGACGACGACGACTCGTTTTGCGCCTGGGCGCGGCAAGGGAGCCGCGCCAGGGTGATGTCCGGGCTAGCCAGGCACTGTTCCCTGGGAGGCCCCAAGAGGCCCCTGGATTTCTGGAAGCCCACGAGGGTCAACAAAACCACCGAGAACGCGCCCCCCGAGACTCGGGGGGGCCCCCCTCTGTGCCCCCGCGGGCGGCGGGGGGTGCCGGTCGCTCCGCGCCCTTGCTGTAGAGCAAGAAGGCGGCCACGTCCGTGCGCTTCTGGTTGCCGCCGACGGCGAGGACCTGCCGGGGCAGAGGCGGACGGAGGAGGGAGGGAGGAGGGAGGAGGGAGGAGGAGGAGGAGGGATTAGGAGGGAGGAGAGAGGAGGAAGGAGGAGGGAGGGGAGGGAGGGAGGGAGGGAGGGAGGAGGAGGAGATGAGGAGGAGGATGAGGAGGAGGAGGAGGAGGAGGAGGAGAGGATGAGGGAGGAGGAGGAGGAGGAGGAGGAGGAGGAGGAGGAGGAGGAGGAGGAGGACGAGGCGCAAGAGAGAAGCACGGCGGGCAGCTTGTGGCCCCAGCCTCTGGGAGCCCTCGCCCTCGGGCCGTCAAGCAGGACCCAGGGTGAGATATGCCAGTCTCCGCGAAGTGGTCCAGACCTCTGAGGGATCAGCTTGCGAACAGCTTCGTCTCTCGCACCGGCGGACAACGTCGCCGGCGTCGCCTCGCCAGACCCCCCGCTGCGAAGGGCGCGGCCCCTGCCGTGGGCGCGCTCTCCGATTAGGACGCGGACGCGTTGGGGCGCGCTTGTCTGCCTCACGCGGCAGCCCAGCGTAGGAGTCCGGCGGCGGCTGCAGCGCCTGCTCCATGAGCTTCCCCATGTCCTCGCGCGGGGGCTTCGGTCCAGTTCGGCGAGTGCCTGGGGAAGTTGACGACCATAGTAGACCCACGATGTATCAACGATGCTGCCGTGCGTCCACCTGCCCCAAGTCTCCTCCCCGTAAGCCTCCCAGACAAGCCTGGCATTCCGCTGCAAGAAGCACCGCTTTGAAGGACGAGCACCCAAATTTGCCTGCCATCCAGACGAGAGCCCCCTGTTGGCAAGGAGCTGCCCTGCATCCTTCTAGCGAACGATAATGAATGCGACAAGGTAGAATCACTAACTTCACCATTTGAAATATCCAACGGTAGCCCCATTTTGAAAAGGACCCGCCCCCCTATCCGCGTAACTGTCTCGCAAATTTGCACTTCTGTGCTCTATGTTTGAAGAAATCTCGTCCGAGAGCCCAAATGTGAAAAAGAGCCGTCCTCCATACGTAAGGCTGCTATATCTGTGCAAACTCCAAGTCATTTCCTCGGAAAACTCCCAGGCTAGAACTTCATTTTGAAAAGGAGCCGCCCCCCCATCCGTATAGCCACTGCATACTTGTCGCTCGTGGTGGTACCTCGTGAAGAAATCGCACTCGACAGCTCAAATTTGAGAACAAGCCGGCCTCCACCCGTGCTGTAGCTGTTGCGCAATTTTGCGATCGTGGTGTTTTGGAAGACGTCTCGACGTCTCCGGCGAAAACCCATTCCGATAACGAGCGTACCTCCATCCGTGAAGCCATCGAGAAATTTCAAGACAAGCGTGCGCGGGGCTAAATCAGAGCCACATTTTGGAAAGGAGCCGTTGTCCGTGCTCGCAGCGGCTGCAACCTTTTGCGACGAATGTGCGCGGCGCTAATTACAGCGACAATTGATTTGGACACGTGCCCGACCTCTATCTGTGTAACAGCTAGATGGTTTCGAAGCAAGTGTGCGCGGCGCTAACGAGAGACCCCGTTTTCAAGGACGTTCCCTCCATCAATGTAGCTGCTGGCAATATCAAACGGCTGGAAATTTCAAACTTCAGGATCGGAGGTGAAGGAGTGAGATCGCAGTGGAACGGAGAACCCCCCACCAGGAAATCGGTTTCGGCTTCGTGTTCGTGTTGTGCGTGCGAGGCAGAGCTGCGTGGGCGCGCGAGAAGAATGATGCCGCCGTGGCTAGGGGCTGTGGAGCCGGCTGTCCGCCCCCCCCCCCCCCCCTCCCCTGGCGCGCAGTGGCCGGGGATGTCCCGTCGGTGGCCCGGCGGTGTTCCGTCGGTGGGTGTCCCATCGGTGGCGCGGTGTTGTCCCGTCGGTGGCGCGGGGTGCCCCGTCGGAGGAGCGGGGAGGCCCGTCGGTGGCGCGGCGGTGAGATCTGTTGTGAGGTCGATACTGGAATCGATTATGAAATCGATTATGAGATCGATTGTGAGACCAATCGTGAGATCGATGGTGAGATCGATTGTGATATCGGTAGAAAGATCGATAGTGAGAGCTGTTGCGAGATCGATGGCGAGATCGGCCGAATGTTGTGAGATCGATCGTGAGTTCGATCGCCAGATCGATGGTGTGATCGACTGGGAGATCGATGGTGGGATCTGTGGCGAGATCGATCGTGAGATCGCTTGTGAAATCGATCGTGAGATCGATTGTCAAATTGATATTGGCATCGATTGTAAGATCGATGCTGGGATCTGTTGTGATATCGATAGTGAGATCGATTGTGAGATCTGTTGTGAGGTCGCCAGTGAGATCTGCTGTGAGATAGATCGTGAGATCTGTTGTGAGCTCGATCGTGAGATCGCTGGTGGGATCTATAGAGGGGTCGACAGTGAGATCGATATTGGGATCGATTGTGAGATCGATTTTGAGATCGATTGTGATACCGAGCGTGAGATCCTTGGTGAGATCAATTGTAATATCGGTAGTCAGATCGATAGTGAGAGCTGTTGCGAGATCGATAGTGGGTCCAAATGTGAGATCAATCGTGAATTCGATTGTTAGATATATGGTGAGATCTGTTGTGATATCGATCGTGAGATCGATCGTGAGTCCAATGGCCAAATCGACAGTGAGATCGATAGTGGCATCTATTGTAAGATCGGCAGAGAGATTCACTGTGATATCGACAGCGAGATCTGTGGTGGGAGCGAAAGTTTTATCGACGCGATATCGATTGAATGAGACGTTGGTTCCCCCCCCCGAACCTCCATATCACCAGAAACATTGTCGTATAGGTAAGAATGGTACGTGAATGCACCTGAGGCGGAACGCCCGGCCTGGCCTACGGACACGTCTGGTGTTGGGTGTTGCGACAAGGAGGGGTTACTCATACGGAAAGGGGGTGGGTGTTGCCAGTCGTGAAATTGGCCCTTTTCAACGCTCATTTGAAGCCTCTTGTCGGGGGTCCCTGGAAGCCATCTGAGCCGCCTCCTTCCTCCTCCTCCTTCTCTCCAAATCCTCCTCCTCCCTCCTCCTGCTGCCCCTTCTCCTCCTCCTCCTCCTCCTCCTCCTCCTGCTGCTGCTGCTCTTCCTACTCCTCCTACCTCCTTCCTCCATTCTTCGCCCCCGCTCTCTCCTCCCAACTCCGTTCTCCCTCTTCGGCCTCCCCCTTATCTTCAACCGAGGTGCCTCCAGAACAATATTTCCCAACAACAATCCCACGGTACTTGCCGTATCGCTGGTGGTCGCACGGAAGGTCTTGTAGCCCAACAGAGCAATGTGATGTTGGAATCCACACTGCTCCTCCCTCCTCCAGCTCCTCCTGGGCACTGGCACTGTTGGCATCGGTCCTCCCTCCTGCCTCCTCCACCCTCCTCCCTCTTGTCTCCTGCCTCCTCCTCCCTCCTCCATCCTCCTTCATTTTCCCTTATAAATGGCTCATCCCTGTCGCACCCCGAGGCCACGGAAGGGCGTGCTAGGCGTTTTGCCTGAGACCTCCTTACCATGTTACGATCTGGAAATTTTTGAAGTTGGCAACAGTTTCATCGATGGAGGGCGGGTTGCTTCCAGCATGGGGCCCTCACCTTAGCGCCGCGCACGTTCGTCTTAGACAGTTGCAAGAATTCCACGAATTGAGGGCGGCCGGTGTTCAAAATGCGGCTCTCGCCGTAGCGCCGCGCATATTCGCTTTAAAAATTTGCAGAAGTTTCACGGGCTCACTTGGTTAGCGTACCAGACATTGTGTCTTGGAGCGATTCAGGATTGTCGGGGCGCAGCAGTTACGTTGATTCGGTTGAAGTCCAAGAAATGGTGTCCTGGCACGGTTCAGGATCGTCAAGACGCAACAATCATGTTGACTCGTGGCGTCGAAGTTTCGATAATGGTGTTTTCGCACGCTCCAGGATCTTCAAAGGGTTGTCTTCCTAACGGAGCACTTCCCTCAGTGGAAATAAATCCTCGTAATGGCCTATGAAGGGGGAGCTTGGAGGAAGGGAGTCTTCTAACATCGTTGATGAATCTTGGGTTTGCACTTGTCCTCCTCATCCTCCCCCTCCTTCCTCCTCCCTCCTCCCTCCTCCCTCCTGCCTCCTGCCTCCTGCCTCCTGCCTCCTCCTCCTCTTCTCTTCTCCTCTCCTCTCCTATCCTCCACTCTCCTCTCCTCCCCTCCCCTCCGCTTCCCTCCCCTCCCCTCCCCTCCCCTCCCCTCCCCGCCCTCCCTCTCCTCCCCTCCACTCCACTTCTCTCCTGTGCAATTGTCGTACCGGCCCCTCTTTCCCTAACCCCTCCCTTCGCTCGGCCCGAGCCCTCCTCCTCATGTCGGGTGCTGCTAGACGTTGGGAGCACCTTGGGCCAGGGGCACCTTTAGCAACCCCCGACGAGGGGTACCGCGTGCGCGGAGGGCGATGCTGAGGGCTGGACGTTCTGCTTGAGCTGCTCCCACTCCTCGTCCGTGGCTATGGGCTCCCCGCGGTGGTAGGCCAGGGACGCCTGGGACCGCCGACATTTTGATCTCGGCCCTCGAGGATGCGGAGGAGCCGGCTCCTCCTCC